CCCCAAAACCCCAAAACCCCAAAACCCCAAAACCCCGTTCTCAGCAGAATGTATTGAACCAAGAGTCAAATTATTCAGAATTAGTAATTTCCGAAGTCTCTCATGATCTTGTATGATCCTGGGCCTGGGTTTTCTATAACAAACAATGGTATGCCTTCAAAATAAAGATAGCTTACTGACCGAATTTCTCAGAACCATGTCCTTCTTTCTGTCAATTCCCCATTTTCCTCCTTTAGCTCTCTCTATAGAAGAACTAATGCCATTTCCTGGATTATAAGACCCTGGCCCTGGAACGGCTGTAGCATTCTCCTTGAATCTCATTCCTGGTTTGTAGGAAAGGTTTCCTTTACTATATTAATATTAAAATTCCTCCCAAAAGGCAGGCCTAAACAGTAACCGGATATTTTATGTATTTACTCTCCACCAATAGGTTTCTGATAATTGTATGAACCAGGACCTGGATTACTTCCTCTTAAGTCTACAGTGATAATGCTGATTAATTTACCTGTCAAACTTTGAGTTCTGCTTCCAAATGACATCTTTTTATCTGACTTACCAAAGTCAGGATATGGTGCATAAGATCCTGGCCCTGGGATGTTCTTCTTCAAGTATGAATTGTCCATCCTTGAAATAAAGATTATTAAAAGCAGGAATAAAAATATATCATAATGATAAAGAAATGGAAGTAACTTACTTTGACCCAGGACTCCCAAAGGAGTACTTAGGGTCTGATAGTTTCTTTGAGTCATACTTATACCCTGAGTCATATCTGCCTGGCTCTGGGCTATCACCTATACCAAACAGTTATATCATGGATGATATTTATGTCCCTAGCTAAACCTTCACAGGTTTTTCCATTCCCAAAGAGTGCAAAGCTCAAATTAGACGTAGTAATCCTCTTTTTGATGTCAAAAATGTTAAAGCTTAACATAAAGCAACATTAATTTGATAAATGCTCCCCGAGATTACCTTATTCAATTGAGATTTCACATAAAATAGTGGCAAGTTACATCTTAAATTAGAATATTTTTGGATTCAGATGTCCAAAGTGAAGTAAATTAGAAGAGGTATGGTACCACATTGAGCTACTTAATAGGCTGACAATGGAAAGGGAATAGGTAGGATATAAAGCTTTCCCTGCCAGAAATAATAAAACATTTAATGATAAGTGCTTTAACTTTATATTTAAATAAAATTGCAGAGATCTTTGTTTCTCACTCAAAAAATTCATTGGCTAGAAATTAAAGACTCTTTTGGATGAATAAGATTACAAAACTAGTATATATGATTTTCCTGAGTCACTTACTAGTCTTAGCCTTGAACCTGTTTCCATATCCAAATGAAGTGCCTTTGCTTTTGCCATATCCATTGATGATCTCATACGCAGCTGTTGCACAATAGCTTTGCTTAGTTTTGGGAAATCTTGAATCTTTTGGAAAAGACCATTTACTTTTAGCCTTAGAAACATTGATTCCACTGTATTCCCCTGGAGCATCTACATTGAATAGAGTCTTTCCCGACATTTTATTTGCAAACTATTTATATTAATTAACCCAAATTATTAAATGGGGTTTTGGGGTTTTGGGGTTTTGGGGTTTTGGGGTTTTGGGGTTTTGGGG